CAAAATTATCCCCACCTGATGCCTTGCGCAACCGGTCTCTGTCGGACTGGTTCCTATATACTGTGTCTCTAAGGAACGCGGTCGTTGCCACACATGGCCTCTAACGCGCAGTCTCTGAGAAACCTGGGTTCGGCGCACACTACGTAAGGCAGAGACGGAGTCGGACAGAGACACTGACGGCCTCAAGTAGTCCTGCAGAAGCCGGTTGTTATAGACACCGAAGGCAGTCTGCGACCGTGTGACATGGAGGCCGAGTCCGTCGTAGACAGCATGTGGCATTCACCGAGGCTGGCATGCATCTCTTGGGTTACAGGTTGGAAAAAATGTTGAAAATTTTCTATTATTTCGAAAAATTAAAAAAATGCTGGAAATTGTCTGAAAAGCTCACAAAACCAACAATTTTTGAAAATTTTCAAAAGAAATTTGAGAGTGAAATTTTTCAAAAACTGTTGGTTTTGTGCGCTTTTTGGACAATTTCCAGCATTTTTCGATTTTACGAAAATATTCAAATTTTTCAAAATTCTCCCCACCTGATGCCTTGCAGAACCGGTCTCTGACGGACTGGTTCTTATGTACTGTGTCTCTGAGGATCGCGGTCGTTGCCTCACACGGCCTCTGACTCGCTGTCTCTGAGAAGCCAAGTTGCGGCAGGCTCTACGTAAAGTAGAGACCGTGACGGACAGAGATACTGACGGCCACAGTGCACAAAACCAAAGAATTTAAAAAAAAATTGATAGTGTAATTTTTCAAAAAATTTTGGTTTTTTGCGTTTATTAGTCATGTTCTTATACTTTTTGATTTTTCAAAAAAATTTGAATTTTTTTTCAAGAATTCTCTCCACACGATCCCTGAAAGAACAGGTGTCTGCATGTTACACGTTCTCTGCGGCACTCTGTCTCTGTTCGTTCCTTTCTCTCTTTGTCCCGAACTCTGCCGGGCCGTCTCTGCAAAGACCTGATTCAACCGAGACATGGTGAGAGACAGAGCGAGTCAAGGTGAGACCGACTGAAGCACTGTCCGAGTTAAGCATAAAGACTGTGAATCACAGACCTTGTCAAGCAGAGGCTGGGTGAGGGACAGACCGTGTTCGGCACTTTGTGGTGTTGACAGTCTGGCAGATAGAAGTTTTACGGAGAATGTATGTGACAGAGACCAGATATGAAAGCGATCTAGTAGGTGAAAATTTTGAAAAATATTTGCAATTTTTCAAATTTTCGAAAAATCAAGAATGCTGAAAAATGTCTGAACGTCGCACAAATCCTAAAATATTTGTTTTGTGCGCTTTCTGGTCACTTACCTATGTTTTTTGATATTTCGAAAAATTTGATTTTTTTTTCAAAATTCTTCCAATACGATCACTGCGAAAACCGGTGTCTGCTTGCCTTTACTTCGTGTACCTGAAAACACGTCTGATCGCGACTTCGCCAATTAACATTAGAACGATGTGTACAGTAATGAGTATGAGCCACTCAGCACTGCACATGAGGAGGTGTCCCCTCGTAGCTGCTGCTGCTGATATGAGAATCAGGATCAATATCGCCTGCCTTTTAGTCTATGAAATTTGTACACATGTGCCTATGATAAATTTCTTCCTGGATGCTTCGGTCTAGCGGTTAGAACGCTGGCCTTGTAATCCTGGGGGTCTCGGGTTCGATTCCCGGCGGTGCCCCGAATTTATAACTTGTGTTGGGCAAGGCCGCGGTCTAGGCAACACGGAGTTTTCCTCCGTGGCATCCCAACAATTACTCCATTCACACACAGAAGAAGGCAATGGCAAACCACTTCTGGATCATCTGCCAAGAACGTATATGAACAAGTCCCAGTCCGAGAAAAGGATGGAAGAATCCTGTTCATATGGACCTGTCGTCAGACACAACACTAAATAATAA